ATGGCCTACGACACACTCCGGCGCAGTGGTGACTCAGCATAACACTATGCTGGCTGGCATCTGAGACGCTAGAATCCCACACCTGTACCTACACCACATGAAGCGGCTCTAACAAAGCATGATGACGTCATAATGTTTATCAATTGGCACCAATGACGTCATATTTCAAGGGGCATAAGCCATGGTGTTTTTGTTATGGAAATAGAACACTTGGTAAATGTGAAAAATATAAATCGTTTTAATGCAAAACATATGTTGGTTAATTGTGATATTTTTATATTTTTGTCTATGACACTTCTAGGTTAACACTTTTATTGTGGAAAAAGTACAAGAAAATTAGGTTTCATTTCCGTGTGAACTTGCCCTTTAAGGCACAGGACGGTCGCATATATTCACTACATCTCGATTCCAAAGTTACTAATTGTTTCTAACCATCTTAATCTTATTGACCTGTGGGGATTCAGGGTACGAATATAGGTCCCTAGCAACCTATGTTTGTTGTAAGGGGTGACTGAATGGATAGGGTAATCAGGTTTGCTGACATAGTTGATGCGTGCTATTTCTTCTTTCACTGATGTTTAGTCTGGTTCTTTGTACATAATTAGGTCATCCTCAAATCATGGGTAATCAGGGTTAGAAGCTAACAGTTTTTGTCCACTAGTCCTTATAATGATAACATATAGAAAAAGAACTAAAATGGGCCAATTTCTATAGTCCTTAGGATACCTTTACTATTGGGCAGTTTGGTAAGGATACCAATTTCTAACACTGGTAAAAATCTGGTGGATGTACACCAGAAGGGTCCAAATGCTAACAGATATTGTAAAACGTTCAATGTTAGTTCATCTTTACTGACCAACATATTGCCTTTCAATTGATAAAACTTTACAAGTTAAAAATATGGATGTTCCAAAATATCATCAGCTGATCATATCAAAATGAAATATTGATATATTTGGTGGGTTGTTTTTTTCACTTTTCTTCCATGAACAAAGAAAGTGTTCAAAGTGAAGCATGAACATCCATGTGTGTTGACATAACCCTAATGTTGAGCAATAGAGATGTAACAGGGCCCTAGATTCACAAGGACAAAAGGGCCTGTCATAATTACGAAAACTGTCTTGTCATTCAAGAGGAACATATAAATAACATAATTAATATCACTAATCATAAAACACCTAGTATCCCCATGTAATTCCCAACCATGATAAGAGAATGTCACATGACATATGTCATGGAACACGTGGCAGAATATCATGAATATCAAATATCATTAATATAGTATGTATCTTATTGTTCATTTCCATGGAAGAACTGTACTGAAACTGTTAGAAAAGGTTGACTAGGCATGTCCATGGCTTGTGTGTAGCCCATGAGTGATGCTTATACAGCATTGTTCAGTGGATGGATGATAACAGCAATCCTCAGTCAGAATTAATCTGATCGACACGTGTTGTTCCAACATCTTTTTTTCTAATATTGCCCACCACACATTGATTGCTGAAGATTTGATGATGCAGCGATAGAAACTGTCACTTGTCCTATAGTCCTTGCCAAACTGCCCAATAGTCAAGGTATCAGAAGGACTAGTAGACATTTGCCATTTTTTAGGGATTTGCTATATGTTGTCATTATAAGGACCAGTGGACTAAACATGTTAGTTTCTATCACTGATGATGTACATGAATGGTATGCATTAAACAAATATTATCCTGTAGCCATGATAACTGTACTCTGGGAATGTAATGGTGTGATGAATATTGTATATTCATGATCAATAACAACTGCAATCGATTACATAATATGTATGTATGTACGTACGTACGTACGTACGAACGAACGTATCATGTAATTGGTAGATCCTTTAACGCAAGGTGAAAGGATTTTTGTCTGTTTTATTGATTGATTCAGGGTGACAAAATAGCAAGACAACCTTAAACAATGATTGGTCCTTTGTTAATCCTCAGTCAAATATAGGGTTCAAAAAAGTTTGGAATGTGGAATTTTTGGAAATTTTCCACAATGTTTATAACTGACACGATTAAGTGACTGACAACAGTATTTCAGTAATATTATAGCATGTCAGCCTAATGTGAGAGGCAAGCACCATGTGATGCTGGACTTAGACATTTATCAATTTCGTGAAACCAGAGACCATATAATAGATGATTTGTTTTTGTTTGTTGTTTAAAACCACACTGAACAATATTCAGGCAGTTTGACAGAGGCCTGTATATAATCGAGTCTAGACCAGACAAACCAGTGATTGATATTGCAAACAACAATCCATGCCATCATCATGCGATGGCAACAGACACAACTTATCAACCAAATCACGAAGCCTGACCACCCATCAATTTGATTGCCTCTTTCAAACAGCATAGGTTGCTGGGGGCCTACACCAACCCGGAATCGCCATTGGATTGAAAGCAATCAACACTGGTAAAGTGCTCATAAGCTAAGAGTCATAATAAGGTAGAACCAAGCATTTTTAACCCAAGATCATCTTTTTCAGGCAAGACTAACATGATTAAACTTGACATGACAATAAAGTAAACTACTTTTAACAAGAATATATAGTTTTTCCACATTCCTGATTTTAGAGTTGATGGATCTTAATAATAATAACAACATACAACACAGAGTCAGTGTGACTCCATAATGTCTTGCCAATTATTTATTGCAATAGTATTGCGATAACTTGATAAAAACCTGTGCCATCCTACAACATACATTACCCTGTATCATTTGAGATGATGACAAAGACAAACATGTATGTCAAGTCCAACATTCAGAAGGTTGCTTGGGGATCAGAAGCTAAAAAGTAGGTACCTTTTGCGATATTGTCTGATATAAAATAATGAGCTTTTTCTGAATAAATATTCACATGTCTCTTTAACATGTTTAAGCAAGGAGTATTTCTGAATCAAAAAGTATGGAAAAGTGAACAATTAACAATATTCTTATTTTACTTTATTACATCTATCAGTTTTTAATTCTATTGATAGTCTAATTGATGATTATGATGACATGAGTGCTAACTGTTGATATTTTGACTTGTCATTGACAGAGCTCCAGATAAGCTTTTGGTGTTGTGGGTATTTTACCCATTCATTTTAAAATCATTGGGTATCAGTATTTCTATCTGGGTATTCAAATTTCTGTTACCCACTAGTTTTTACACATGTGGGTATTTAAGTTTAATATTTAAAAACACTATTCATCTAGTCCCTGCAAACTGGTGTCGTGTGGGTTCGAAAGCTTTATAGGACTCAAAAATCCCAAGATACTTCCACAAAAAAGTGTGATGGCAAATGATCATGATGTAACTGTCATCGTGGAGTTTAGCAAGGTTGAAGGAATGTCCGTTTATAATTTCAAAATAAGTTGCTGATTTGCTAATCGAATATGCAGGGTTACTTCACAATATTTTGATGATACCCACAAGTTTTTGTAGCGAATCTGTAATGTTCGTTGCGTATTTGATACGCTTGGATTTTATTTTACTGCGTATTTCTGCATTTTTGATGCGTATTTTACGCAGATACGCAGCTTATCTGGAGCTCTGCATTGACATTGGACTTGCTAGTGTCTCTCTTGTTTAATGTTAGGCAAGGTCAGGCATGTGGAACAATGAATGAATAAAACATCTGCCACTGTGATCTGCTTAAACAGTCAATATTTCACATAGGCATCGTAATCGAACATTTCATAAAGTCATAAGTTTTAGCTGGCATTGATTCAAGTGCATCAAAGATGAATTTTCATAAGCATGATTAGTCATTTATATCACTTATATAAGATTTACACATGTTTACCCCTGAATGATTATGACTTCAACTGAATTTCAACCCATATCACCTCCCAAAACAAATGTATATAACACCTTGGAATTGCAGCAACTGAAACCACACAAACTGGGTGAAGTAAAATTGTTTTTGCCCCTGAATCATGAAACTCGCCGTCAGTAATATTAATTTAGTGAGCAACTGCCAGTGGCAACAGTGTTCAGTATACATCATGATACATGGGTTAACAAGTTAAATAACAACACATTAAAATAAGGTTGGCAAGTTTGGATTTTTTTCTAAAAACATGGAAAATTAGTTTGTCTACAACACCTGTTACCTGTCTGCATCATATCAGGAATAGTCAATAGTGACATCTCTAATGATACACAAAGTTTGATCTGTGAGATTAACAATGAATACATACAGATCAAAGATGTTTACCAAACATGACAAAGATTGAAAGATCAAAACTTATCAAGGCAAATCTGGGAATCCAAAAAAGACTTGATTGAACCATTAGAAATCAACTCTACCAAGGAATGTGAGTGATACTCTGATGACAGTTAACAAGTTATGATAAGCTTCAATGACATTATTGATGTATTGTTGACATAAACATGATAAAGATAAACATGATTGTGGTACAAGATAAATGTTATTAATTCAGAAAGAAATTAGCTGCTAAAGGTTATAACATAAAATCAGTAATAAGAGATTATTATTTATGACACTTTCAGATAGAAAGGGGTTTTTTTTCTTGCTTGGGTCATTGAATATATAACCCAGTTGATAAGTTTACAGACACCTGTCAAGTGTACATGGAGGGTTGATCTGATAGAGAAGGCCACATAAGACACCATATCTTTCGTTTTGTTTGTTGTTTAACGCCGCACTCTGCAATATTCAAGCTATATGACGGCGGTCTGTAAATAATCGAGTCTCGACCAGACAATCCAGTGATTGACATCATGAACATCGATACACGCAATTGGGATACGATGACATGCATCAACCAAGTCAGCGAGCCTGACCACCCGATCCCGTTAGTCGCCTTTAACGACAAGCATGGGTTGCTGAAGACCTAAACTACCCCGAGATACCATATCTGATCTACGACCTGTCAATGAGATCAGATTCCATATCTGATCTCATTGACAGGTTGTAGTCTTTTTCCATTAATATTTATGATAATTTGTAAAATGGACTTACGGATAAGTTGCCGTCTCTTTCAAATATCTTACAATAATTCGATTGTTCAGTAAACACGTGTCTCTTGAACTTCTGAAACACACAAGCAGACTGCCAACCTGTCAATAGTCACCATATTGCTTACTCTCTAATCCTGAAATATATGGTATTAATCGCGATGTTGATACATTTCACTAATTCAAACATATATATAAGATAGATGCCATTATAAGATGAGTACAAAATATATGAACCTTGCCTATTGGGAAATGTTTTATAAAGAGTTGCCGTTTAATAATAACATAGTGTTATTATCGGTTAGAGGTTACAGCTATCAAAACAAAATGGCTGCTCCCATGGCTGATCATGTGTTCCCGCATGAAGACAAAAATATGCCAAGTCAAACGAATATTATGGAGGACACAAGCAATAGAAACACGAAACAGTCATCTCTGGCGTCGAAACAACTGTTATATTCGGAAAAATTCGCAGGTATATGTCACAGACTTCGTAAAACCTGTCGTGATTTTTGTAGTGTAGATTACTCGGCCTTGTTTATACCAGGGCCCACTTGCACAAAGCGATCTTAGTGCTAAGATGATCTTAACTCCCATACTTTAACATAGGCCTACAATAGACTTAGCGCTAAGATCGTTTTGTGCAAGTGGGCCCATGTCACAACCGACCAGCCGATTTGGTCATAACGTGTTCAAGATTAAAACGACACCCTACATGCTGTGTCCAGTCATTGTACGTATAGACCTACACATAAACATGATAAAATAATGACATCACATTATATAGTGTTTTTGGAGCGATTGGTGGGTAATCTTTGCTGAAGGGCTAACAATGTGACAAATATAGACAAATAGAAACATTTGATAAGTGTTTTGCATGCATCCACTAATGATAATACTACTGTCTTCTCTATATAGTAAAGTTGGACATGATAGACCAACTATTAAAAAGGCATAACTTGTACTTGGGATGGGATGAGTCCCAATTTATTACCCGGGTACCCAATCCCATAATACCAAACCCAACCCAGGTACCCGTTGTAGGTCTCAAGAGATTGGTACAAAACATCCGATAGGGATTTGTTTGACCAGGGCCCTGGCAAGACGTATTTAGGCACTTTATAAAACAGTCTGCATATCTGAAGTATACTGAAGCTTTATCTTCATCAATGTTCATTAAAAAATATCTAACTCAGAAGGCATACATAAATAGTCTGAAAGAAAAGTGAACATTCGTGACCTGTAGTGTATTCATGGAGTTCTAGATCATTTTTGTCTTTAAACAATATATCATGTGACTAACCACGGGTCCGGGTAGTCCTGTGGGTACGCTGGACCTACTCAGTACCGCCCTGAGTTACCCATCCCAGCCTTAACTTGTACTGTCTGCTACTCACATCCAATGATGCCAAAGGCATGATTTCACATGATCAAGTTTTAAATAAGGCAAATACAGAGATCTATTTTGGCATGTATATGAATATACCTATGTACTTTATTTCATCTAAAATAACATTTGAATAAGAATGATGAGAATTCCACATTCCTTGTTCATCATGTTCATATATATATGTGATCCTTGGTATGTAAGTACTAAACCCCAATGTTCATTTCAGACCAAACATCTTTCACTGCTCCATTAGCAAATGATTAGGGTGCAACATATCATCCCAGAAATAACATATGTTTTCGATCATACCTTTGGCAATGGACACTAATTCAGGGCCAAGTTTCATCATTTTAGCAATTGGAATACATTCATTATTTATTGTAACCTCAAACGTCTTCAGTCAGCATTCAGGAATGATAAGTTTAACATGTTTTGATTCGATGGTTCAATTACTAGGCCCATACAGCTTCAAGCTTTCATTTTTCACTCTCGTATCCCTGTCACACATGGCCATCAGCTTGTCATGGCCTGAGAAACAAAAGCAGACAAAAGGGCCTAGTTGATTTAATTTTTGTTACAATGTGGCTGCAGATAAAAAGAACTAAAGAAAGTGTGATTATTTAACCCTGACTGGAAGATTGAACTTGATAAATAAAATGTGAAAGTGAAAATGTGAGTACATAAAGTAACAAAGAAAAGTTAAATTCCTGATGGACAGTAAATATAAAATTCTGTAAGTTTTATGTCATATTTCAAAAATATATATATGTCCCATCCAGCATTGTCCAGTGTTCCTAATTCTTAGAAAGGTCTTGATCATTGGGCATGGGACCCCACTTTTCCAGTTTCTGAAATGAACACTGATACCCTACTTAGTACCGTATTTTATTGAGTATAGTGCGCACCCATGTATAATGCGCACCCCTTCTAGCGGGTTCAATATTTTGGAAAAAAAGAAATTTGAATATTATGCGCAGAAATTTTTTACACCGTACCCTTTCAGCGAAGTCCGGCAAACGAACGGGTGCTGAGAAACTTCGTCAGTACAAAATCGAAATTTGAGATAAAAAATCACCAGACATGTTTATTTACCATTTAACATGTCTCTCTGTGTTTAAATAGTATTTATTGTTCTGCTAGGCATTGTTTTATATTTAGGGATTAAGATTACGTTGCGTATTTTCTCGTAAACTAAGCTGGAAACAGCGATCAGCTGTACACACGTTTTCTTGGAATCGACCGGTGATTCGGTCAAGACACACCCAATGATATAACTTTATAAGATTTTTAATGCAAGGATCGGCAACAATTGTATCTGAAACTATTTTATTTATCAGGAATAATTTATTCCATTATTTTCTTAATCATATGCAACCTTTAATAAACATATTTAAAATGATAATAACCCTAAGCGAAGCAGCTGATCGCTATTCCTGGGTATTATTTTTTACATGGAACATGTCTGACCAGTCACCGTCAAGGCTCACGCGCACATGATCACGTGATCGCGAGAATTTCATGTTGACATAGAATCGTCAAACAAAAACAAATATGACTTTTAACGAATCAAAGTATGTCATTTATGATATATGTATCCATTCTCTGTCAACTAAAGTTTGTTTCAAGGCGTCAATAGCGGTATTCTGACCGTGGTTGCTGTTAATAACGGTGAGTTGTGCGATCTTCCGATCGCTTCACACACGATTTCGCCGAAATTAATAAAAACAATATTACAAGGAATTTTGAATAAAATCAATGAAATAAGTTACAAACATAAGTCCAGATATACAAAGAACACTTTTTATAGCCAGACAGTGTAATTACATGATTATTTTGTGTACTTCAGTGTGGATTTGTTGACATGGTATTCCCGGTGTTTCATGCTCACGGTACTGTCTTTCCATGGGGGAAAAAAACATCCAAACTCGTAATTCGTGTATAATGCGCACCCCCTTCTACACAGCTGTGTTTTTTCGAAAAAAAGTGCGCACTATACTCAAGAAAATACGGTAAGCATCGTAAGACTAATGCCTGTGGGCTTCACTAAGCATCACTTTAAACTTTTCTACAACACTACTCTGACTCTGATATATTGCTGGACTACTGTTCAAAACTGTTCATCCCAAAGCACCATGCTCACCCACCTTCTCAATACATTTTCCAACAATGCATACCATGCATATGATTATGATATTTTGTTCATGTCAAAAGTACCTATTATTGTTTTATATTGTCTTTTTCATAACAGACAGTACTCTGAACAAGTTGAAAATTCACAAACAAGTTGCAAATGGAAGACAAAATACAGAACAAGGGAAGCAGACGTTCAGGTTGCCCCCAAGTTCAGGTAATATCTCTCAACACAATGGTTCCCCACAGACAGGGTAGTTGATCAGTGCCACCAAATTCTCCCCAAGTTCAGGTGAGATCTCTCAACACAATGGTTCCCCACAGACAGGGTAGTTGATCAGTGCCACCAAATTCTCCCCAAGTTCAGGTGAGATCTGTCAACACTATGGTTCCCAACAGACAGGGTAGTTGATCAGTGCCACCAAATTCTCCCCAAGTTCAGGTGAGATCTCTCAACACAATGGTTCCCCACAGACAGGGTAGTTGATCAGTGCCACCAAATTCTCCCGAAGTTCAGGTGAGATCTCTCAACACAATGGTTCCCCACAGACAGGGTAGTTGATCAGTGCCACCAAATTCTCCCCAAGTTCAGGTGAGATCTGTCAACACTATGGTTCCCCACAGACAGGGTAGTTGATCAGTGCCACCAAATTCTCCCCAAGTTCAGGTGAGATCTCTCAACACTATGGTTCCCCACAGACAGGGTAGTTGATCAGTGCCACCAAATTCTCCCCAAGTTCAGGTGAGATCTCTCAACACTATGGTTCCCCACTGACAGGGTAGTTGATCAGTGCCGCCAAATTCTCCCCAAGTTCAGGTGAGATCTCTCAACACAGTGGTTCCCCACAGACAGGGTAGTTGATCAGTGCCACCAAATTCTTCCCAAGTTCAGGTGAGATCTCTCAACACTATGGTTCCCCACAGACAGGGTAGTTGATCAGTGCCACCAAATTCTCGCCAAGTTCAGGTGAGATCTCTCAACACTATGGTTCCCCACAGACAGGGCAGTTGATCAGTGCCACCAAATTCTCCCCAAGTTCCGGTGAGATCTGTTAACACTATGGTTCCCCACAGACAGGGTAGTTGATCAGTGCCACCAAATTCTCCCCAAGTTCAGGTGAGATCTCTCAACACAATGGTTCCCCACAGACAGGGTAGTTGATCAGTGCCACCAAATTCTCCCCAAGTTCAGGTGAGATCTCTCAACACTATGGCTCCCCACAGACAGGGTAGTTGATCAGTGCCACCAAATTCTACCCAAGTTCAGGTGAGATCTCTCAACACAGTGGCTCCCCACAGACAGGGTAGTTGATCAGTGCCACCAAATTCTCCCCAAGTTCAGGTGAGATCTGTCAACACTAAATAATCTACCTTGACTGGGACTGTTGTCTTGCAAATGATACTCTACAGATCGAGCACAGTCTTCTTTTTACTGGTGTGTCCTTGCCAAGTTTCTTTTATAGTTGTGCCGGTATATCAGTTATGTGTGCTAGGTAATGTTACAGTGTGTGATAATAACTGCAATCAGTTTCATAGTTTTATGTTATGTTAGTGTTTATTTTATAGCCTAATGTGATTGTTTTATTGTTTTATGGGATAGTAGTTGCTGTTTGTTATGTAGTATTACATGATGTAATATTTGCTGTTTATTACTGTGCCTCCCAGTGTTGAGCCAAGTGAAGAGCTTCCTTCCCCAGCTGGAGTCCTCCAACCTTGCCCTGGCTCACCGACTACAGGCAGGGCAGTCCAGCGAGGTGAACATCGAGACCGTGGAGCCTGGCCCGGGCCCGCTCATAGAGATGGTGGGTACACCACCACAGACCTGCTTCACACGGACACTGATTCTTTGTTTAGCACAGTATTTGTCATGAAGTAGTCTAGTGGTTTCCTCATGTTAAAACTTTTGATAGTTTGGCATTTTTGAAAAAAATTATTTTCATGTTCAACTTAGCCTGAAAATGGCAGTAGTGCTCATTTTCTGATCAGATCTTGAAAACTGTACAATACATCTTGCCTTGCACACAAACAGACATGTCATATTGCTGGGGGATATGAGTATTTCATGCTTGTTTCATATCATGCATATACCACTAGCTACACTTTGGAAGTTGGGTCCTCAGAACTCGGCTCATGTTCCATAATGGTACTTGTTGTTACCATGCCTTACGCTTGACATTAAGGGGATAAAACAATAATGTGTCTGAGTGGGGTATCAATGTTAAACCGTGGTATCTCAGTGGACTAGCACTCTAAACACAAGTGTATGCACATCTCTGTATAAGTGCAATAATCTTGCATGCAAAGTGAAAAGCCCATTTTATCTCACCATAAGTTTCATAAATTATCCTGTTTTGAGTAGTGACCCAACTCACTGTGACCCTAAATCTTACCATGTCCTTATTGTGTTATCCTGATACGAGTTAATAATTCACTCTGATATCCTTTCAGAACTTGGCGTTGGTAGAGATTGACTCCGATTCCGATGCCAGTGATGACAGCGGCATCAGTGCCTCGGACAGTGATTCTGGGAGTGATTCAGACGTTGTGATGGAAGACTCTTGTGTGGGCCCAGTAACAGAAAGTAATATCAGACTTACAAAACTCAAAGACAAAAAATCCAAAGTACCCATCATAGAAGTGTTGTCTTCAAGTGACGAGGCAAGTTCAAGTACCTGTCAAAGGGAGATAACTCCATGTTTCTCCAGAGAGTCCTGCAATGGTTGTGTGGATTCTGAGAGGGAAACTAAGAAATGCAGTGATGATAAATGTGATGAAGTTGTTACATAGCTAATAAAGTTTTTGTATAAAGAGTGTGTTTCTGGTTTCTTAAAAAATGACATGCTTTATTTGAATGTTATTTTTTTCTGTGACATGAACAACATCCCAATTTGTTTGGAACCCAGACTCTTTACAGCCAGTGTTCAAAACAAGTGTAGGCCATTGCAGGTAGATATTGTGTAAGGCCCATAATGATGGCAGCCTGGCAATTGTTTTTATTTCAAACACTAGACCAGACTACCCATGCAACTCGAGAATACAATAGGATCTCACCGTTATTCTGAGAACATTTAGGGGCGGTCGGGTAGCCTGGTGGTTAAAGCGTTCGCTCGTCACACCGAAAAAACCCGGGTTCGATTCCCGACATGGGTACAATGTGTGAAGCCCATTTCTGGTGTCCCCCGCCGTGATGTTGCTGGAATATTGCTAAAAGCGGCGTAAAACCATACTCACTCACTCACTCACTCTGAGAACATTTAGCAATGCCTTCTTGTCATGGCCATTTATGGCCAAAAGATACAAGTTGTAGCACTGGGTGTGCAATAAGGCATACTCACTAGTACCTCAATCAAATGTGGTTTTACTTTTGAAAATGTCCTTATGACAACCATGGCAGGTGTTGGAAACAGGATGTGTGAAATCAGTTAAATATGAAAATTTGACCCTTCTTACCCGTTGTTTTAGAAAGAAATTTTATGCTTAATTAACCCCATAAATGTCAAGTTTGAGGTCATTTCTTTTAGAGTAAGCATGCAAACAGCTTTGGGCCTCAATAACTTGAGATTTTATTGATGGATAATCACCAAACTAGGTCTACATGGTAGTCTCCAGTTGTATGGAAAAGTGAAGGTCGACAGAATGCAAACATTATAAAGTGAAAAGAAAGTTACAAATACTTCTATTCTAAATCATTAGAATAATTGTAACTGTTGTTTTCATTTTTGAAAACTTTTATATCATCAAATCATGATGTTTGATTGAAGAATGCAATTATTCAAAGTATCACTACTTTTATATGCTGGAATCATTCATGCTTTGTATGGAGATACCATTATTCAAATGTAATATCACTATTTTGTAATGCTTTTATTTGTTTGTTTAACGTCACTCTCAGCAATATTCCAGCTATATGTCAAGTCCAGGAATATTTTCTGGTCCAGACATGATTATTTACAGACCACCATCATATAGCTGGACTATTTTGCTGATTGCAGCATTAAACAACAAACAAACAATCTTTTTATACTTGGTTGAGAAGATAAATGTTTCATAAACAAACCAACAAAACCTCTGGTAGTCTGGTTACCGTATACGACGTAATAAGCATCCCGCTCAAATAAACGCTCACGGCCAATTTGCTAACATATTGGCCAGTGAACAAACGTGACCTGTACCTTGGATGTCCTCAGATCTTTGTTAGCAGTAGTGAGAACTAAGATCTGATTTTAATGAGATCGGCACAAACACTGAGGACCACAAGGATCATGGTCTTGCATCGTAGACCTGTCTGCATTATGGATCATCTTACTCAAAATCGTGGAGTTGTTTAACGCTGCTCTATGTAATATTCCATGCAGTGATGTAAGTTGACAAAGTTAAAACAAGTAATGGAGTCTGACCACCCAATCCATTAAGTGACCTTGTACAACAAACATTGGTTGCTGGGTTCCAATTCTTACTTTGAATCCCTGTGGGGGATATGTGTAAATTTCTCCTTCAAAACACAACCACCTCCGTGGTCTAGTTGATAGAGCATTTGCCTAGAGGGGAAGGTCGGTGGTTGGATCCAGGGTCGTGTCTTATCAAAAGACATGTGAGTGGGGTATCCATGTTCAACTGTGGCATGGTGTCTCGGTGGGGCAGCATTATAAAACCATCCCACTGAAGATCCGGGTAGAGATTAGGTCTTCAGCAACCCATGCTTGCCGTAAGAGACAACTATGGTTGTCATAAGAGGCGACTAATGGGATCGGGTGCTCACTGACTTGGTTGATGCACCTCATTGATTCCTATGGCATAGACCGATGCTCATGATGTCAATCACTGGATTGTCTGGTCCAGACTCAATTATTTACAGACCGCAGTTATATAGCTGGAATATTGCTGAGTGCGGAGTTAAACAACAAACAAACATCACCTCAACACTGATCATTCAGTGAACAAAGGACAAAAACATCTTAAGCATCTGAAGTATTTATTTCAGTTTAAACTGGCAGAAAATAAACATTTGAGAGATCAACAGCAGCAAAGTATGAAAGACAGACAGTAGTTCCAAGCAGCTGAACAAAGGACTTGTCTACGAGGCACACTGATTGGTAGTAATGTGACCAAGACCAGGCCTGCTAAAGCAAACCAGCAGAGAGCAGCCAAACTATGGAAAATGTACACAAAAAGTTTGCTTCGTAATGATTGAAACCCGCCACATTTTCAACAGAGACTGCAATAGACTGAGTGCGTGGAAACTTTATTGGGATTGTGTCCTGTTTGTAGTTTGTGTGCCTATTTCAAATTCAAAGTGTGTACATATTCCATAGTTTGGTTGCTCTCCACTGCTTTTCTGTAGTAGTCCTGGATACTACAAGAACTATAATAAACTGTAATTAACATCTACCATTCACTTTTCAGATCTATGTAATTTGCACACTGGGTATTAGACCCAAGTCAGAGGATTAAGGAAAGAATTTTAAAAGACAATACTCTTATAGTTTGTACATTGTACCAAGTTTATTTTGAGGACGGGTATAAAAATGTTATTCTTTTCTTTGGAGAACACAATCGCCACATGTCATGCGAGTGAGAGAGCTGTATGCTTTGACCAGCATTAGATATCTCACCATGTCTGCATACTGTAGGAGGAGAGTTCAATTGACACTGGTCGCAGATATTTACCTACCAACATGGGTGCTGACAAAGCAAGAATCCCAATGTAGACTCACCCCAGTGGATCCTTTCACTGTCATGTGGAAGTGTTCACTTGTGAGATTGTGTGTAGTTACGGCAATTGTTGCAGGATTGCAGTCACTGGATGGCTTGGGGTCCGAGGTGCTTCACACATTATACTTCCTCTTAGGAATTGATTGTACTGTGTGACAATGCTAGACTACTAAACTTGCCATACCCCCTGATTACAACCACCTGACACCCCTCACTACTCGGGCACATTCCTCGTTATGTTATGACTCGTCACTGATAAACATGTGTACAGTGCAAAAATCAGATCATAAAAAGAACAAAAAAAGTACCATGGCACTGTAGCTCACCTGGCTATATAGTCAACAGTTTAAGATGTCAACAAAGTCAGCCCCTTAACAAAAGTTGATGTCAACAGTTTATGATGTAAACAGGCACACTCATGTGCTCCTACACAAAAGTTGATGTCAGCATTAATATTCAAATATTTTCAACATCAATACTGAGGAAAGACTCCACTGTACTTGAACAAACTATGATCTCATCATACGGAGAAACATACAGGTCAGCTCTGTGATTCTGGCAATGTCGGAGGAGAAGAATTTTACAGAACCCAATTTTCATTTTGAAATAATTTAGGAGCATGAAAAAGCAAGGTCAGGATATAAAATACAGCCATAAATGGATGACATATGTCAAACCTATAACTACACATCTACCAAATTTCAAGATATTTTGAGCAAAATGATGACAGTACTATCCATAAATAGCTTTCTCAATATGTCTACTGTGGTGGCCATATTGACAACCTTCGGACAATTTCAGGGGTCATCAGTGGTTGGAACAAGTACGTTACGATTCAGCTTCATTCGTCTCGTGGTTTCTGAGGAGATATCCTTCGGAGATGTTCCGATACAGATGCCAACACAAGATGCTTGACAAAAACACCATGACATAAACTCACTTGAATTTCAGTCAGGTGAGCTAAAAAGGGTAACTAATCATATCTGTAAGTTGTTCTGCTTCTTGTAAGTCAGCTACTTGATGAGAATTGTTCAAAGATACTCAACAACAAGGTTAATTCATGACTATTCACACTAAAAACATGCAGTCAGAAATATACAGTAAGAATAGCACCACTAAAATCATACTAAAAAAGATACAATAAAACAGTATTTGCAAAGCACCTCAATAAATGTAAAATAAAGTTATATATGCTATAAACCATTCAAAAAGAGAATACAGTCAAACACTGTTGGTCCTGCGTATTCCTTATTTATTTATCATTATTTATTTTCACCGTGTCGAAACTTGGAAAACTCAAAGTATTTACGTCCGTCCCTTTAACTTGGACACAACAGTGTTTGACTGTCGTTACCATTCCGACTTCAACTAAAACACTAAAGGGCCTTTGGTTTCAGTTGATGACAGTTCTGACAGGAACATCCTTGATCTCGGGCTTCTCAGCCAAGACAGATGCTTCACCTGAAACTAAGTCTTCCACACGGAGACTCCCACTTCCCTACTGGTACCCACTACACAACTAAATCAACTGACACACTATTGGGTAAATGTAAATACCGTATTCCACGTAATAAGCGCCCTGCTCTAATAAGCGCCCACGGCGATATTTGCTAATATATTGGCTAGTGAACAATCTCAATAAGCACCTCTTCCAATTGATTAATGTCCACAAGACCTATTCATTTGTGTATAATACGCACTCGTATGTTATATGCACCCTTAATTATGGGCAATTAAATCCTGGAAAAATATATCTGTCGTATATAAACATTTCAGGCTGTCAGCATAAACCATGAAAATTACGATCTTTCAACTCAAAATAATATTCTAATAAGAGCCCCCTATTTTTGAGAGCGTCCTGGGCGCTTATTACGTTGAATACGGTATGCTATTTTCTATGTTTCTCAGGGATGAGACACAGGTGGAATACAATGATATATAGGACTATATGTATAATAATAGCTTTTGATAGCGGCATTCCTACAAGTCTTTGGTGTACCAACTGATTACTTACCATAGTAAACACCCTGCTCCAATAAGCTCCAGTAAGTCATTTTTAAATGCGTTCCCCTCACTATCACCAAAAAATTATACAA